CACTTTGAAGAGAATTGAGCAGTTGTGATTGGTCATTGTTTTGTTTCCTGATGGAATATAGATACACATCTTTTAGTATTGGGACATATATGATTATTTTTGTGAAGATTTGGGCAATAATGAAGCAATCTTGTAAAGCTTTCTCCCTTCCCACTAAGAGGATGACCGAAAAAACATAGATCGTCTTGCCACCCACAGCACCCCCCCATCTTGTTTGACTTTTAAGTGTTGTTTATGCCGGCTTAGGAAGAGATGAACGTCTTCTTGCATCATTTTTCCCTGTTCCATCAAACCAACCGTGGGATGCGCTGAAGAGACGTCACGACCGTTTGAAACTGTCAATCCATGGGCAAGGAGATTCCGAATGCCAGTGGCTTGGTTATTATTGTTTTTATTGAGGTGTCTTGAGGAGGTGGTGCAACTTTGAACAACATCTTCTAGTTTCACGTACTCGACAGGGAGAGAATTCTGCAGATAGAGTACCGCAACGTGTACATGGTCGTCAAGCTCCGCGGTAGCGCGGTACATGCGTGCTTTTTCCTCATTTTTGTCAACCCAGCAAAATCGTCCGTGCCGTCGAAGCCAAGGCCCTACACCGTCGTATTGGCGAGCGACCTCCAAAACAGCTTTGTGCTCTGACGGTGACAACTTTTCAAGAAGTCTATTAATTGATAGCCATATGGGCTTCAAATGCCGCGCGACCGCAGCTGCTTCACAAGAATCATCTGCACCAAGTTCACCGATGCACCCAGGAGCCAACCAGTACGGACGCAGCCGCCACAATAGCGTCTCCTCTTGCCCACCGCGATTCGGCCTTGTTAGAAAGTAGTGGTGTTGGCTGGCGTTTCGGGCAAAGGGTTCAAGTGATGAAACTGAGACGCCAGCAGTATGCGCCCACTGCGATATATCCACGTACTGGTCATGTGAGAGCGCCTCAAGGAGTGCGAAAGTTTCGGACGAAGGGGCACCGCACGCAGGGGTAGCGTCCACAGAACCTCTGCCAGTGGGATCCTTCTTCTTAGTCGTGAAAGAGTCAACTTTCATGCGAAGAGGTGCCTGAAGAACGGGAAACACACGCGTCAGATCGGTTTCCTGAAGCTTACGGCGTGATACATCAGACGCGGACGATTTGTTTCCTCCGTCTTCAAAAAAAGCATTAGCCATACCCAGACGAGGATGAATCAGCGTCGGTTTTAATCGCACGGTATCAGTCGATTTGTCCCTGTCAAAGTAGTACGAGTAGATCTTAATAACCTTGTGTAATGTATTTTGCGGTCCAAGTACACGTGCAAGCGCATCCGTCACTTTCACCTGATGAACTGGTACGTAAAAGGAGGGAACGCACTCCACAAAGAGATCTAGCATCTCACTGGGTGATCGTCGTCCGCGCAGTAAAGCAACTTCTGTATGTGCCTTTAGAAGATCCTCAGGGGATATTCTTCCCTGAGAAGAAGGATATTCTTTGCTCTTCTGCGACAGCGGTGGTGGCGTTTTTCGCCTTTCCGATCTCTCCGGTGGCTTGGGAGGGGCTGGGGGTATCACCGTCCGCGGCAGCTGCGACGTACCGCTGGACACAGTTGCTGTAGCGCTGCTGTCACCACGGAAGAAATCTTCGTCCGGCTCCACGGCATCACCAGTGTCATTACACTCGTTGGAGAGCACTGTGTCATTATTGTTGTCGTCGAGGTCTAGTTCGACATCCCACACATCCTCAGCGTAATCTGGCGCAGGTGTAATTGGTATTGTGTCTTGGTCGGTGGCGCGCACTATTTGCTGATGGTATGTCGGCATACCACGCGAAGAAAGAAGTCCTTTTACTCCCACAAGAGTGGTATCCATGCTAAGGTCAACAAAATCCTGCGCGGTTGGATTCTTTAGAAGTCGCAACAACCCTCCCCCTGATCTCCGAATTGACTCTTGAAGCTCTGTGGGCAGGGTGTGCAAGAGACCAGCTGTCGCAGCAGGCTCATTCTCTGGTAGAAACTCCTGGAACTCTTCAAGAATGGTACGTCTTGCCGTCTCCACAAGAGCCTCTTGAGCACTATGTAGTTTCACTCTCACTAATCCCACGGTCGGCTTAGCCGCGCACTTATCGTCACCACAAACATACTTTGGTTCTTCTTGCGATAAAAGCAGCGAGGCTTTCCTTTCCGACTGAGCTCGGCTCACGAACCAGCGAAGACTCCCATCAGACTCCTCAATTTGACAGCAGCGGAAGCGGTGGGGAAACAACTGTAAAAAAGCAAGGACAGATCCGTAAAGCTCACTCACCGCCTCGGCATCTAAAGCCGGTGTAATACTGGTGAGGCGTAGCCCTGATCCATCCGCAGGAAGTAGGTCCAAAATTTCATTCACTAATCTCATTGCCGATGAAGAGAGGTCGCTCTGCTGACATTTGTGATGTGTATCATCATCGTTCAGACCACAACTCTGAAAACCCTCTTTTGCTGTCTCCGAAGCTTCGGAATGAAGGAGAAGCTCTTCGTAATCTTCTAGGGTAGAAGTATCATCATCCTCCGTGGCCGCATCATTCGAAAGGTTATACTCCGTCGTTGTATGATTCCATCGATAAAAAGAAAGTTGTGAGTAAGGCTCGTATAGCCCATTAAAAATCAAACAGCGGTGCGCTACGAAGGGAATGACCCCCCATCGTGTAACCCAACGCCTGCAGTTGAATGAGCTGGTTTTGGTGCCCCTTCGGGTGCAGGGGCCACCTGCCCGGCGCAGCATGTTTGCGCCCCCTTCTTTTTTTTTTTCTTTCCCCACCAAATTATATTGTGTGGAGTTTCACAGCCACAGTCAACGCTCTATGGAGGGCAACAACAACCAAAAAAAAAAAAAATAAGCGTGAAAAGGGAGAAAAAGAGAACAACACGCACACAGTTCGGCAAGTTGTATCGAGTCCGTACCACAGGTAAAAGCAGGCATCATATGATATGATCGGCAATACACGATAAAAGAACGTTGGCACTGCAGCAAACACTTATTCGCTTAACTTTTCGCCTGTTACCAAAATCACCAATGAGCAACAATCACATTTACAAAGATTGTCAATCTCCCGCGTTTCTCCAACTTCCTTTGTGACGAAAAGCTCAAAGATCCCACCACAACGGCATTCCATTTGGTACGTAAGCATCGTCACTACACCAGTATTCTTACTTTCCGGAAGATCCACAACTCTCTCCTCTACAAGATCAAAATCATCTATATTATATGTATCACTCACAGCACCGACAGACCTCACATATGCCTGTTGTTGAATCTGGTCGTACTCAGCGCGGCGCAAAGGGTCAAGCAGCAATTCCGAAGCATCTTTCACGACGTAAAAAGGATGGGTTACGTGCGCCGCAGAGACGTCCTCTTCTTCGCGGAAGTAATCGATATTTCTGTCAGGGTGAGTACGTAACGCCAAATGCTTGAACGCTGCACGGATATCAGCAGCCGAAGCTGAGCATGGAACACCAAGTACTTCGTATGGAGAGAGCGTTCTATCCATCTATGGAGCAAATCAATGTTTAGAATAGGACAAAAAAAAACAGAAGAGGAAGAAAAAGCAGCTTTGTCAACATAATATGAAATCAGAAAACACTTGTTTTCATATATATTCCTCCATTAACAAATCCATTGAAGTGCCTGTGGAAAAATCTGTGTAAAAATTTTTTTCTTCACAAAGAATATTCCCTACAGGTGCTAATGACAAAGCAAAATTGGAAAACACTTGATCGTCCGAACAAAGAGTTCGTTTAGTCCCCTTCAATACTCCTTCCCCCACTCAACAACAAGCATCGCATCACTACGCCAAACAGCCCTTGTATGCACTACCATATTCCCGTATCTCCCACATAAAAAAATTTTTTAAAGGAAATTCTCACTTTTTTTTTTGATAATCCTTCGAACGACCTACTGTCTATCATGGACAAAAGAAGTTTTCCCTTCTCATCTAATTCGCTAAACTGTTACGGCAGTCTTCTGTTGCTTACATGAGTCTAATTCATCAGCTGCACGATTGTTCTCTTCTGCATCACCCAGGAATAGTTTCCCTACCGGACACAATTGCGAAACCGGCATATTGTTATCTGTTTTCACTTCCAACTCATCCAAAAAAGTACTGATTTCACTAAGGCCACCACGGCCAATCATCCCCAGGTTAAAATCCTGAGCGTGTTCATTGAGAAACCTTACACATCGGGTGCAATGAATACACCGGTTAAGTACAACACGCGTCTGGGGATCAAAATAGAAATCCTGAACAGAACGTTTGTCTTCCTTGTATCGGGGTATATCAGTACCATAGTTCATGCTAATGTTCTGAAGGTCACAATTAGTCGCCTGTTCGCAAATTGGGCAATCGTTTGGATGATTTATAAGAATTAGCTCCACATTACCCTCTCTGGCATCGCGAACTAGTCGACTATCAGTGATGATTGACATGCCTGGAAGCGCTACAGTAGCACAAGACACCACTAGAGTTTGAGTGCCATCGACTTGTACGAGGCACATACGGCAATTACCTGCAACCGACAAGATGGGATGATAACAAAACTTAGGAACTCGAATACCTTCTCGTTCCAGAACTTCCAACAAGTTTTCTTCCTGTGGGATAATTTCAACAGGGCGTTTGTTGACAAACATAATGGCGCGAGGTTTGTGCTCTGCATACTGGCCAGCAGCAACACCTTCAACAATAGCTTCCACGCCACCTTTATGAAGGTATTCGCTGCCATGTAGCGTATCCGTCATTTCACTGTTGTAAGGTGTTCCATCTGATTTGAATGAACGTCGAGGAACAAATAGCGGTGAACCTCTAAATGACAAAGGGAAGAGACCAAGAATCCGCTTCATTCTTTGCTCTCTTATCAATACCCACAATTTCTACACCACGAATGTACAACTACCTACTAACTTTCTATATGACCATCACCAAAAAAAAAAGCGGACAATCAAAAGAACGCCTTTATTGAAGGTCCAATGTCGTAATAAGAAGATTGTCAAACAAGCAACCCGAATAAAGAAAAAAGAACAAAAAAATTCGGGAGGCCGTTTGAGAGGAAAAAAGACATTTTCATAAGACACCGCGCTACATTTCCGAAGCTCTATTATAAGGCCACGAGCGCCAAAAAAGCAAAACGCACCGTTAGTCCTATTAAATTGCGTTTTTGACGTTTCTTTTCTTTCCAGTAAAAAAAATCGAACTAGGCGAAATAACCTCTCTGTCCTTGTGTGAAGCTAGAGTCAATATCGAGTTCTTCCTTTGAGCGACTAATAAAGAGACAGACACACAAACACAGTCTCATTCCGTAATATGTAATTAGGTGAAGGTGTGTTTCCACCCTATCATACATCACCCAACATTCTTCAGGCCAAACGCCATCGCATCGAGAAGAAAACCGAAAGAAGAAAACAAAAAGAAGAAACACATGCCGATTATTTTTCTATCCATTAACCTTTTTTTTTTTTTGCATTGTCGTGTGCATCTCTATATTCTCCTCTTTTTTTCCTTGTTTGACACGTGGAAGACGGAAGCAAGAAACCTGCCTGAATTCCTCGCCAGTACATTCTGTTTCTGATCTTTCAGCGAATTCCGCCCATACCACAATTTCGCCTTTTTTATATAATTCCTTCTGCACGCAACCAGCGATTCCGTGAAACTGCCCATGACAGCAATGCTTCGGTCAATTTTTAAAAAAGGTCTACATTGCATACACGACTCATTAGGCTAAAACCATTTCCCTAAGCATCCATTACGAAAAAAGGATTTCTTCCTTTTCTTGCTTGTTCTGCGAGTCGTTCGAGCACTTTTCCTTGACGGATCAAACGTTGTTCACGGAAGTCTTCATTGTCCCAATAAGGACGCTCGTCACTGTCAGGATTAAAGATGCAAATACATGACAAACGACGCTGAACAAACACAAATCCCTCCATATAAAGATCTCTTTCAACGGATGACTCAATACACCGCCACTGGTGATTTATCGCTTCTTCGTCTTTCGTTGGGAGCGATTTTTCCCCACACATCTTGTTATATCGGCGCACAAGGGAAATATGCGTTCGGTGAGCTTCGTTTAGAAGAGATTTACTTGAAACACCAACCTCATTGGGCGGCAACGCATTTTTCTGTCCTATCGAAATAAAGTATTCATACTGGCGCTGCATTCTCTCATTTTCGACCAATGACCGCTGCTCGTCCATATTGAGAAAGGGATGAACGTCCAATGCAGTGTTCCTTAATCCCTCATCTATTTCCGCAAAAATGCTTAACCCTCCAACTCTTTCTTCCGTCAATCCACACCTAGAGCGCGAAAATGGAGAATCAACTGCTTCGTCTGACTCCTCCTTCTCACTGCCTGACGACTGCGTTAGTCCCTCTTCACCCAATGTAGAACTTCCAACAGTGTCATCTAGACATGGTAAAGAGGTCCATTGGGTGTGCACATCTCCGCAGGTGTTTATATCCAGGTCATTCTGTGGTGTTACGAATGAAGGTATATAGTCATTGTCGGCGATGAAGTGAGGATATTCCGACACTACCATGCGACTGCAGCACGTCAGGGAAAAGCCTACGGTCTATAATGAATATTTTTTTGGTTTACATTCACATAAAACCAAGAAAAAAAGAAAAAAAAACGAGGAGAAGTCATAGGAAGTAAACTATAGTAACAGCATAGCTTTTTTGGTAATGGTTTAGCCCAAATCTTCATATATCTTTTCCTTCCCTACCAAGTGTTTCGACAGTTATATTAATATATAATAATCATTATAACCATTTTTGCTACTATCATTGTGGAACGCAAAAAAAAAAGAAATATATGGCAATACATCTAGAAAACAAGAAAGACAAAAAAGTAAATAATCAAACACAACACAGGGTATGTGCTCATAGAACACAACTACAAACCTACAAAAAGAATGAGCTTATATATATATAATTATATATAATTATCCCTTTCTGTACTCTACAGTAACCATGGTGCGCATAAATAGCAAGAGACTTATTATAGCTAATACCCAGGTCATTTGAACGAATCTTTTTTGCCTCTTCTGAAGTTGACAAAATTTCTCATGTTCTCCAGCGCTGATGTCACCATCAATGCGATTAAACATCAAAAGTGAACACATGCCAATTTGTTCAAATCCATTATCAATAAGCATCTCATTGAATATAGGCATATGAGCCGCTCCCCATGGAATTGCAAACGCTTTATACCCATTTGCTGCCAAGGGATATATCATATCCAAACAATGTTTTTCCCTGGCAAAACTTCCTAAAATAGGCATGTTAAATCGAAGAGAGCACCACCACGGCAATCGTTCATAGTCATACTTATCGGCTGCGTGAATTACGGTCAAATTCGGGGAGTCCTTAACTCCCCAGGAAAACGGTTGCCAGAAACGTTCAATTTCTCGTGGTTCCCAACCTTCATCATCTATGTGTTCTCCAGGGCGTGTACAAGAAACAGCTTCACGGGGTGGAACAATCGTTGAATATGGTGCACCAGTCAACGGAGTTCGCCCTTCCATCAAAACAGAATGATGTTGGCTGCAGATGCTATCCACCTGATGGAAAAACTGAGGGTGCGCAAAGTGCTGCAACGGTATAAGCGTGACTTTGATGTCTTTTGCATCGTTTTTGTATGTATACGCTATGGATGCCACGCTGTCTTCCCTAGGGAAAACAAAATCATCAAACCTTTTCGAACGAAACGGAAAAGAATATTTCCACCGGGGGCGGTAAACAAAACCTCGCACCTCCTGCCCCGCTTTCTCCCCTACGCACGCCTGGGCGGCGCCGCATCCGGCGGTACCCG